AACCCGTAGCACATTCCCCCCAAAAAAATCTTACAAAACAATATACATCTTAAATCAGTGTATAAATGAATTTACTTTGGGCTGTAAATGGACAAAAGAAAAAAAGAATCACCTTCTAAATGAATTATCCAATGTCACATCTAAATTATAATGTTTAACTCCTTTTATTTAATTCAAATTTTTTGATAGGCAATAAACAAATGGCCCTCTCACATTTGCTAAATGTCGCTGCCTGTTGCCTGCAAGCGCCTAAAAGAGTGAGACTACTACAAATAACAAAAAAAATCGAATGAAATATTCGCCCTTGCACCAGCAGCTGGCACGAATACATTTTTTCGTTAATTTGTAATCAGTTAGTAAATTGCTTTACCAACATGGCAGATAGGCAATTGTAGAATGCTGTTTGTATTTAATTTAAATGGATAATTACATAGTTTGAGGATATATATCAATATTTGAATAGAGACTTGAAAAAATATTTCATAAACTGTTTAATAAAGATTAAAAGGCAAGATATTAGATACTTTATGAAATTTTTATTTTGTTTTGCCTTTATGAGCAATATCTTTTAAATGTCAGGCATGCCAGTCATAAACTCTAATAAGCCTATAGCTTCGAATTTATTGGTCTAAGTCAGAAGGCAAATCTTGACACTATAGGCTAGATGGATTTTGGTAATTTTTCGACTCAATCATGGATTGAAGTAATTAAAGCTACGCAGCTTGCAAATGGCCATAGAAGAGATCATGTACAAATATTTTAAAACAAGAGCTGTAGGTAGGACAGCATGCTCGACTTTTCTTAATGCTTGATAGTAAAAAGCCTTGAGATTGTTCGCAAACTGTAAAGTATAAGTCAAAAAAGGGGGCATAATTCTATTCTGAGTAGTTGACACTATAAAAATATAAATCCTAGAAGATAATAGTAAGAGTAGAAAGTAATAGGTTCTTGTAAATAAATAAAAGGTTTTTTAACTGGTCAATAGACATTACAGAATAATTGAATTGTAGGAATATCATTATAATAAAAACATTAGCTTTATAGAGTTACCTACTCATGTCTAAAGGTTAGGGGCATAAAGGTGAACTAGTGTAAAAAGTTTCAAAGCCACATGTCAATGGACTTTGAAAGTATTTGAGGTGGTACGCAAACTTTAACGAAAATTCTAAGTCGAAAAAGGGGCATAATTCTGTCAAAAAACTTGATAGAGTTACCTCCTCCTGTTTAAAGTTTGAAGGCATGATGGTGAACAAGTGTGCAAAGTTTCAAAGCCATACGTCAATGGACTTTGAAAATATTTGAGGTGGAACACAAACTTTAACGTAAATTCTGAGTCGAAAAAGGGGCATAATTATGTCAAAATGCTTGATAGAGTAACCTCCTCCTGTCAAAAGTTTGAAGGCAAGATGGTGAACAAGTGTGCAAAGTTTCAAAGCCATATGTCAATGGAATTTGAAAATATTTGAGGTGGTATGCAAACTTTAAATTAAATTCTAAGTCGAAAAAGGGGCACAATTCTGTCAAAATTCTTGATAGAGTTACCTCCTCATGTCTAAAGGTTGAAGGCATGATGGTGAACAAGTGTGCAAAGTTTCAAAGCCATACGTCAATGGACTTTGAAAATATTTGAGGTGGTACGCAAACTGTAACATAAATTCTAAGTCGAAAAGGGGCATCAATTTTGTTAAAATGCTTGATAGAGTTACCTTCTCATGTCTAAAGGTTGGAGGCATGAATGTGAACAAGTGCAATAAGTTTCAAAGCCATTTTTTAATAGACTTTGAAAATATTTGATGTGGTACAAAAACTTTAACTTAAGTGGTTACGCTGAAGCCAACGCTTGGGTGACTAGGATAGCTCTACTAATTCTTATCGAATAGTCGAGCTAAAAAGTTCAATAAAAAATTTTCTTTACATATGTCTTTGTCTTGAAGTTATTTTAAGTATACCAATTTACTTGTTATACAATTTATTTTGTTTCGAGCAGACCTTTCAATCATTGTGTTAACAGACAAACATTGGTTTATTCAGAATTTCAGATATGGCATTACTTTGTGAATACATGTATATGCATTTCACAAAAATATGCAACTTATTAAACCAAAGAGCAAATGACGCAGTACCAAGAAAAACTGAAATCCAGACTCCTTACCATTTCCACCCTGTGACTATTCCCCCATAAACTGATTCTTCCCCTGACTGTTTCCCCCCCCCCCCCCCCAAATTTGTATTATGCAGACAGTTCCCCCCTATGTTGTACATTTTTTCTTTTTCTTTTTTACTAAAGGGATTTTAATATTACATCGTATCTATTTCTATAATTATTGAATGACATGAAAATGACTAAAACTTTTGTAGGCAATATTCTTTGTTGTATGTAATTGAAGGAAATTTCAAATTTGGCTGATCTAATATAAAAATGTTGAAGTTTTTTAAGATCATGTTATTAGTAAAACAATATTTTCAAGAAACTATTTGGGTTCATTCCAGCACATTTTATTTTAGATAATTAAAGTTTTAGAAATACTTTTTTCAGGTATTTTTTTTTATCTAATTTACACCTTTGTGTCAGATATTAATTTGTGGGTGATACTGATTAAAGATACGGTTTATTGTAATTAAGGATATAAGATACAGTTGACTGTTTTTTTATATATGTAAAACATTTTTCTTCTAACAAATTTTTCAAACATCAAAGAATTTGAAGTTAAATTTTACAGTATTTTATATATGCATTATTATCTTAAAATACCAATTATAATAAAAAGTTTGTAAATAAAATGGAGAAGAAAAGTCTGCACAAATGCACACTAATCCCCCAACCCCCATAATAAAAAATAGAAAAATAAATCAAAAGATAAAAAAAAAATTAAATATGAAAAAAAATGGGGGGTTAGGGAAGGAAGTGGTAAGTGGGGGGGGGGGGGGAGGAATAGTCTGCCTTCCTGAAAAATTGATTAGTGCTTCAGATAGTGTTCAACACTTAAGGGGTCCCAGGATCCTGAGGATCCCAGAAAACCAGGAGGGATCACTGTGATTGTTAGCTGGGGATCCCTCAAAAATCAGTCAGGAAAAATATATTCAATATGCAAAATGAAGATTTTTTTATAATTAATTGCAATCGGTATAAATAAATTGTTGCAAATCACAAATATTTTGAAAAACATATCAATTCTGACACTGGCACGATATTAGTTTCCCACCATTTCATGATCTTATTTACGTACGCTAAGCTAAAATTTATTCAGTTGGATGTTGTAAAGTTATGCACTAGACTCTTCCATTATCAATCATTATTTGATAAATGACATTTTATAAAAGTTATCAGTGAAAGAAATAAAACTCAGACATGTTGACACATTGAACATACCTTAGATGTAAGAGACCATTCCTTACAAATTGACATAAGTCCATCCTAAACACACAAAAAGGGGAAATGCTCACAAGCATTAGCATTGCTTTTAACAAAATTATATCCAGCATGCAAGTTATTTTATAAAATATAATAACTGTAATCTTCAATTTAGAAAAACCTTAATATGAAGGTCACAATTGGAAATAGGAGTTTCTGTAAATCAAAACCGGTGCAAAGCAGAAGTTCTTTAGAAGAATATGCCTCTCTTTGACCTTTTCCCTGTGGCTTACTTTACACATCATCAAAGAGTCAGTGGCATTCACACATTTATACAATAAAGTTCAGAAATTAACTCATATAATTTTTTGGTTTAGAAAAGTTGCACATGTTTTTAACAGCATACACGCAATGTCATGCAGAAAACAGTCTCACTGTTATAAATAAGTGTTGCATTTGAAAATCATAAGACCAAGTATTTTCTCAAGTTCAATTACAGCGATTTTTCATCTTATATAACAGAGACCTATGAAGGGCCTCCTGCCATTAGGGATTTACGGCCCAGTTGTAAAATAAGATGTAAAACGTATTATCTTTTTATGTTTACTTCCAGGCAATCAAGGAAAGCTGTCTTACAGGAAGAATAGATATTTTCATATAATTGTACATTTTACTTCTCCAGAATTAATGTATATTTAGAATAAATCCGCGATGAACACATGTTAATCCTTGCAGATTTGTTTTATAAGATGTAATTCAAATGTGTTTTCTTTGATGCTTTTTGTTTGTAAAATATTGTTTAATAAATATGAAATAAACGTTTGTTGACATTTTATCATAAGCTTTTAATTAGTTGCAGGTGTTTTTTAATCAAATGTGAATGACTGAGTCAAGCATAATTATCACCTGCTTAATCGGTACCCTTACACATGGGCATTGATTGGTAATAATAGCAGGTATATAGCATGATAAAGTGGGCCGAGTTGACCCATGCCGAGTTGGAATAGGGTAGTGCTGACTCGGGGCCGAGTGCGTTTTAGGGCCAAGCTGACCCTGATTCCTTTAAAATCATGCAGTTTTCCCACAAATCTAGTGACACCTGGTTTTTTACTTCCTAATTCAGCAATTTTAGGGATAATTCTTCCCAAAATATAAAGTCTAAGGCCTTTTCCCTATAAGTGAGAAAAATACTTAATGAAATTGCATGGTCTGTCACACAGTTTCAGACTGTTTTTGACTAAGTTTTTTAAATGCTGGTCGTTGCTCCCAATTAGATCTATAAATATTCACATTTATACTGTTTGTATGGGAGGGATCCCTGAAATTTAGGAGGAATCCCTGTTTAAATCGTATCGATTTATTCAGGGAATAGACATAAACACATACAATGTTATCACATATATCAACTTGCATATATATAAAAACACACACATAAATGCAACAAAAATAATTATCAGATTAAATAATGAGTATGTTCTATGTCACCCTAGGATTGCCCATTAAGCTAAAAGCTTATTTCCAATGGGGTCCATTTACTGTAAAAAATGTCACGGATTCCTTTGGGATCCCTGGCAAAAACAGTTAGTGTCAAAATCTGGATACTACAGTGTAATAGAGAACAATTATCAAGTCTGATTTCTAACATTACCTGTGACTGGTCACATCATTGGCGTATCTGTTGTGCAGCATCAACATTAAACTTAGCGGGATGTCAACTTAGTCGTTTTATCACCCAGACGTACTGTAGAATAAAAGTAAACGTCTCGTTGATAAGACTTTTTTTTTACGACACCTTTAAATTCTTCGGTACTTAGTACTTCAAAATTGATTTGAAGCAGCAAAATATTTACTTCTGGCTTCCATAACTTTATATGTCGCTTTTATGATTTTTGACGTTGCGCGACAGTAAAGTTATGGGTCAACCCCTGTATCAAAGGCTACCAGGATATTCACATCTCCAAAGCAACTGTAAAAGTTACCTTTACAGTAATATTCAAAACTATGTGAAATTAATGGCAACAATGGATAAGGGAATCAATTTTACATTTATTCACTGTTTTCAAGATGATAGAACATCTAAGGATAAGAAAACTAACTGTTAAATTACAAATTGTGGAAATGCTCAACCAAATAAAGTTATTTTTAAATCAGGTCTCGTGAGACTTCACATCTAGGAAATTTTGGTATCTATTTTTAGTAACCGGCCATGTGCTTTATATTGTCTGCTTATTCCCATTCGGTGTAATTTTACTCAAAGTTAAACAGTATTTTATGTAGATCTAACAAAATTCACATCAATGTGGATCCTATCTGTATGATGTCTAGATATCGCAAATTAATTGTAAATAATGAGCTGGTGTAAATTATTAGCCATGTTTTCAATTTAACTGTTGTGTCAGTTACAGGTCACCAAAGGTCATTAGAAGGTATCCGAATGTAAAGTCTCAGCCGTCACGTGATCAAACAATGGCGGCGAAATTTATCAAATTGAACATATTCTATTTATTTTCAAGTATTATTTCACCAATCCAATTATTTTTGTTCCAAAACCTAACCTCAAGAACTAAAAAAAATGATTTATTTACCGGTATGCATAAAAAGTTGAACAAAAAAGTACATGGTTATTAAATTACAGCAGGACATAAATCTGTCATAGCTCTGGTTGACTTTCGATACGGGATCGAGTCTAGCAATACTATTAAACCTGTTCGCTGAAGTCTCTTTAGCTACAAAATATTATGGGTATCCGACTTCCCTGTTTTCTTTGTTTTACTCTGAGATTATTGTTTTTTATATACTTAAATGTTTAAACAATCTTAATAAAGCGATTGAATTGAAATGAAGATAAATTTGGTTTATTCGGAACTAACATTATCTCCATGTACGATGCTAAAATTATATATAAAAATCATACGCAAGTAGCATAACAGAACTTGACTCATTTATTTAACTTATTGGGTCTGTAAATACTAATACTAAGTCAATTCTGTTCCTATGCAGGTAAATTTCATAAGTATAGATCTACCTCTTTCTATATTGTATAACCTACAATTATATCTAGATTAATAAGTGCATAATATTAAATAAAAACATTAATGAATGAAGTGTTTATCATTTAACTGTATTTGTGGCCTACTCTGCTGTACATATTAATTCATTAAATCATATGATTGATGATCTTTTCATAAAATCACTTCAATAAAAAAAGTCAGAGGCCAGATACATGTAATCAAATCAAAACCTGGAGGGACCAGGCAAAAAAATGTAAATACTATTGGATAAAAAATCAATTCAAATTTTGTTTCACTCAGTGCATCATACATGTATATGGTAAATTCATCAAGTGATACCTGTAAATGCATTCTTAATCACTTTTATATCATATTTCTGATGGAAACAATAAAGATTTTCTTTTTCTGCTATGACTTAATTTTCTTATCAAGTTATATAGTTTTCATCAATGGTGCATACAAAAAAAACTATACATATCAGTGAGTACAACGCGAGAAAAAAATATCAATTTGTCACATGGATTCCAGAATTTAATGCATTGTAATCGTAAAATAAATTATTTTGAATGTTAATACATTATTTAACATTACTATGGTAAAGTTCTTACTAATGCAAATTTTAGCCTCCTTGTCCAAAATAAATCGGTTTTAAAAGAATCAAACATTTTTAATTAGCTTATGTGTTTTTTTTTCCCACACTCATAAATAATATACTAGCATGATATGATAATAAACAGTATTTTTGTACTTAAACAATGGTCATCGTATAGGTATCCCTTAAAACATTTCAAAGACCATATTTCTATGAAACTGTACAAAAATAGAGGTAAAAAAAATCATTTGCTAGATAAATTTTCCATGTATAACATGTTGATAGTTTTATCAACTACAACTACATTGAGCGCTATAATCACCTGAATAAATACTGCCTGTTTGGGGCCAAAATCCAAGGAAAATTCACGTAAAAGTCATATAAAAATTGTTAGTGCGCAGACCATTATTATTTCCACGGTGACATTACAGTAAGGAAAAGTTTGCTTATCATTTCTGAAGATACAAGCATAAATAGAAAAGCAACTTACATGCCTCGGAGGAGAAAAAACCCACCGTCTCAGCGCCATTTAGATTATTAAATTGTTTTGATTCCTAAATGCATTCATTGCAAAACTTAGACAAAACTTATTCTTAAACTCTAAATTAAATAAAGAACTTAAATCCTTAACCAACACTACAATGCGCCCAATTACCACTTTTTCGCGCGACTGCAGTATTTATATAAAACAGGCATATGTGGAATTTACCCCTTTGGCATTTTAATTTTGACAGAGGATATTGTGTATTCGTTCTGTCAACAAAAATTACAAATTTGTAGAGTCAGCTTTTGTTGATCATGTTGTTGTCCTATTTGATGCTGAACAGTACTAAAATAGAAGGCCGATATTTTTTTTAATTTTAAAAGCCATCGCTGGTTGGGAATAACAAAATTTCTGTGTGAGTTTAAAGTTGTTACCTATACATAAATCAAAATAAATACTTGTTTTCTATGCTTTGAATTCATATAATTTTTTTCCACGTAGCGACTTAGATGTTACCCCCCCCCCCCCTTCCCCCCCACACCTCAAAGTCAGGAGAAAAACATAGAATTTGAAGGAGAAACTTATATATTTATCATGGCAGCTGTTTTTTTTTCTTTAATATTTAAGATAGCGGATAATAATGGTAAAATCTTTAGAAAAAAATGAATTTGTAACCTGTCTCTCGATTCTAACCTGACTCATGTAATTTAAAAAGAAACATGAGATATATGGTGTGTATATATCCAATTTACGATGTTCCGTTAGGGCAAGCTCTCTGAGCAATAAAAAGCGCAAAGTACGCAGTGCTATGGTAAAAATACGATAGTACGATGGTAGGGTGCGTGACAATACAACAGTAAGATAGTGGAGCATGACAGCACTATGGTGACAGTTCATCATACTATCATATTGTCACTATCGTACTGTCGCACTATCACCATCGTACTGTAGTACTGTCAGAAAATATTTCATAAAAAAAACGACAAGAAAAAGTCCGGGGCTGTTAAGTTTTTCGAGAGTATCAGATACATTCAAATATACTGCATGGTACTCCAAGGGCCTACAAGCAGTACCTAGAACTAGCAGTACCCGACACGACAATAACCCCAAAAGCACATGCGATGGGATTATGGCATCCGTTTTATTTCTCTTTTTTTCTATACCGTGCAGAGCTAAACAAATGTTATATACAGGCATATTTTTTTAATGAAAAAATATTCGTGAAAAAATTACTTTATTTTTTTCTGGCTTTCCTCTGTAAGAAAATTAATTTAGTTCTTAATAATATTTGATTTAAATTTTCTATTTCTTCGATTCTAAACTTGAAATTGTTAGTTTTTGTTGTTATTATTATTGTTTAAATAGTTTCTCTTTATGTAATGTTTCTGTATTTATGATAATGTTCCAATGGACTGTATATATTTGTATTTATAAATGGTCCAACGCCACAAGTGTGGATTAATAATAAAGCAAATAACACAAGGGTGATAACGATTCATCTTTATTAAATGGACTAATCAGTCCTACGCATTTACCCAAGATTTCTAGTTTTCCCCAAAATTTCCTATCTCTGGCCAGTGAATAATAACATAGCTTGTCACTATACCACTGATAGCAGCACCCTTGAATGTTTTATGATCCTATCATGTTTCAAGAATGTATAGTTTCAGGTGGAGGATAAAATGAACTTTTTAGCTATAACAAAAAACTAAGATTTTCATTTTAATTTTTAGTGATACATACCATTACCAATAGTCTTTATCCGGAGATTGACGGAAAGGGCCGAGTAGTTGCGATTGGATACATACATGATACAATTTTTTATGAGACAAAATGTGATAACATTAAAAAAGGGTTTTTAATGACTTACAACTCACAATGAAAATACTTATGCACATTACTTTTTTTATAATAAGCATATATTGTTTTATTAAATCATATTCAATTTAACTATAAAAAGTTTTATATATTAAACATTTTCTGTGACAATAAAAACTCATCTGCATATATTTTATAAAAGAAAAGATATATTTAGATTTTCTTCCTGTAGGAAGTTACTGCCCTGGTGTTGTTTTATCATTTTTCAGCAATCGCAGCATCAGCGATTCACCTGTCTGTCTGTCTGTCTGTCTGTGTGAATGCATGTAAACGTGCGTGTTTGTGTATGTATATATAGATTATATAGTGGACTAAATAATCTTCTTAAAAATCATAATTCTTTTTCAATCAAACTTGTCAGGATTGTTCCATGGATAAAAGGCTTCTAAAGTTGTTTAAAGAATTTGATTGGCTGCAGAAACCTGGTTGCCATGGCAACCAAAAGGAAGACTAGAAGAAATTTAAAAAATCCTCTTCTCAGGAACAACAATGCCTAAAGCATACATGTTTTGCACAAGGCATTATCTTGGAGGCATGTACCAAGATTGCTCAAATTGTAGCCCTTGGGTCAAAATTGGCCCTGTCCCAGGGGTCATTAATTTACCTTATATTAATATTGTAAAAATTTAAATAATCATTTTCAAATTACAAGGGCTACAGCATAGATATTTGTCATAAAACATTATTTTGTAGAACTCTGCCAAGATTGTTCAAATTATAGCCTTGGGTCAAAATTGTATATATAAAATATTTTCCTCAAAAAATAAGGGCTAGTTATGAAAGATTGTCTAGTGCTTTTCAAATTATGACCTTAGGGTCAAAATTGACCCTACTCTTGGGGTCATAGTCTTTTCCGTATATGTATCTATAAACTTATGTATCAAGGACTCCCGCATGAAAAATGCATAATAATGACTGAGTCAAAAATAAACAAAATGTTTATAATATATAAATCTTAAAACTTTGATTGTTTGCAGAAAACTAAATAAGGTCATATCTTTGAAAATGCAAAAATGTCCGTAAAAAGCCATTTCTAATAACTTAAGCCTATGGATGGTCAATTACTTTCACTTAAATGGATAGTGCTGCCGTGTGTCTTACCGGTTTCACCGAACTTAAGACTAAAAAACTATCTAAACAGGTAAAAAGCCATCAGTAACCAAGTTATGATAATCAGATATGGTAGATATATGGTTGTATCACCATTGCACGTGGTGCAACATGCTGAACTGTGACCTTAAATCTGATCTTGTCTTAATGTCATATTTCAAAACCTCCATAAATTATTTTACATCCATCTTCCATTTTCTTTTTTGTTCAATGTATAATGTGAAACAATTTATCAGTTTACAAATTAGATAATCAAAATCAGTAAAAACGTAAGTAAATTCACTCCCCATTATTACAAGCAATAAAAACGCAGACAATATAGAAATTAGCAAAGTGGCCTTTTTGTCTCTTCGATATCTTAAGATTAGTTAAAAATAAATAAATTTTAGAATGCAGTATACTAAAATACATTTAATGAAAAATATTCAGAAAAAAAAAAAAAAAAAAAAACAATTGCCTCTATATTTCGTTCAATTTTGTTCAATCTTCTTACTGTATTCAATGCCTCTTCTTAATAATACTTCTTACTCTTTGTTAGGAATTTTATTAATAAAAGCTAATCAATAACAGTAATTAGTGCTTATCAAATTATTTCTTTATGAGTGCTGCACATTGCAATCAAAATATTTGTATGAGCGAGAGTGTATTATATGAAAAACTGATCAACAGAAATTAACTTATGGGCCACTAGGAAAGATAAAAGAAGGCCAATTAATATTGTCTCGGCTTTCAGCCAAGTGTAGTGAACATGTCATGTTAATGGGACATTAACAGTTAAATGTAATTTACTAGCTGATAAGCCCTTACTGAAATTCAGCAGTAGCGGGAAATTACAGAATATAAGAGAGATGCTGACCAGTGCAGCAGAGCGTGACCTAATGGAATTTTACCAGAAAGAGTTCATTTAAGAAATACGCTATGGTTACAAATTATTTAATTTTGTATATACATATGTTTGCAGTATTTCCATGGTTACACTTAAGGAGGCACCAATAGAAGATAAAGATGTACAATTGTCGAAGCAAAGAAATTTCATTTTTTGGGGGCAGTGCCCCCAGATTTAACAAACCGTCTTTCAATATCCATGTCGTTCTTAATACCAAACTGACAACTCAGAAAAAAACAAGTTTCTAAATATTTACCAAAAACTTCAATATGGACGTATTTGATTACAATTTTGATCCAAATATGATTAAACAACGTATCATATTCACAGCAGTATCTGACGAAAACTAAAATTTATTGTAAATATGAATAATATATCTACTTAAGCGTAGGAATAAATAAAACTAAAAATAACGTATACGTATCACGTGAGCGATCTTGTTTATATCACGTGACATCGATACCGAAGATAAGCTATTTTCGCGAAAATAAGACACGGTCTTCGAAATAAGATTTATTTTCGTTATATTTTATATTTCTCATTAAATGCATTAATGAAATATGTATTTATTATTTAAATGAATGATTTTCAACGATATGAAATTATCTTCATTAAATTATAATATACAAAAATGAGAATTCAGTTACAGTGACGAAAATGGCTCCAATTGACCTTACGCCAGAACAATCATAGCCACGCCCAATGATTTTCAAGGGGAGTAACTCATGAAAAGTCCGACAAACACAAATAGTGTCGACTCAAAAATATTGTATTCTTACATGTTTGAAGAAAAAACAAACAAATAAGTGCGATCTTTTCTATCAGGCTGATGCATAAAAAGTGTACTTTTTTAAACTGACACTTTTTTAAACTGACAAATTGAAAAATATAGGAACACACGGCAAAGAGCTCCCGGGCGTAAAAAGTACGAAGGATTTAAATAAAATGAAATAATCTGAATTCTATCTTCAGTGGATGATATTACACAGACACTTGTTTAAAATAAAGTTAATAGACAGATTCATTTGATTTTCTGCTACAATATTTCAATACATGTGTAGGGCAAGCTGGTCGAGCATGCTGATACACTTGAATGTACTAAATAGTTAAGCATTGAAGTTCGTGATCGAATAACCTACACTATCAATTGTGTATTAACACGAGTATATGCTGAGTGGTTCAAATTTAAATATCATTCTGCTCAATATCCAGTACACGAAATTAACACATAAGGTACACGATTATATCAAATATATTTATCTAAATGTATA